GATAAGCCCAGTGTTGCTTTCAATAACATGCTGGTGTCACAGTTCCCAGTATCAACATATTTGGACATGCAAATAGAAACACAGTGGAGAAGCAAGATTTACCACTAATCCTCCCTCTCTCTGATCTCTCCTGTCCCAAGTGACTCAGGTCATGAGACCCCATTGAAGACGGTCATGTTGGCAATTTCTGCATCTCTTCTCCCTTGAACCTGGTTGAAGGCCTCAGTGTTTATTTCCTTGGAAAGAAAAAACAGCCTCAGTTATGGGAGACTGCCATCACTTAGTGTTCTTCTGCCCCTCCTCCAACACACAATGTCCTGAGACTAATGTAGAGTGCTGAGGAAATACATTCTCTGTTGAAAGGACATTCTTAGGCCCAAGACTCAATGGATCAGCTCCCTAGGGTACAGGGTGGGATCTTCTCCTACTTGGACACTTTCCTTCATTACCTGAGAGGTCAGCTGAGCATAGGTGGAGAGAAAACAAGGGAATCTGTCATCAGAGTTCCCAGCTTTGTCTTCTGAGGTTTCCACTAGGGAGAATCCTGGGAGGTGGGTTGAATAGACTTCCAAGTTCCCTAGGAGAAGAGATAAAGACCTGGAGTTGTTTGGCAGAGAGCATAATTGAGTTGAGAGGATGGCATGCAGGATAGCTGTCCTAAAATAAGGACTGTTGGGGAGGATGGAGGAGATTTTTCTCCTTAAGATTCCTGAACTGCATCGAATGATAGGATTCCAGGATACTCAGGTAATTCAGACTCTATCACTTAATTGAGACTTACAGATGTCTGGAAGCCCTAGTAATTCTATCTCAGGACCATGAGATGGGTTGGGCCACATGGTTCCACATGGAGCATCCTCTCCAATAGGGTCAGTACAGCCTGCATTGAAGGCATCACAGAGGTTTTGGAGAGAAGGGAGTTGAGTAGCAAATGTGACTGAATGGAAAGTCCCTGGGCTGGTAGTAGAGGCAGCGAACAGTCAGCCCTGTTCTTGTGAAGCACTTGTTGAATGATCTCGAGGGTCAAGTCCCTTTCTGGGTTTCCCATTTCAAAGGGATCAGATAATTTACGTCAGTTTTGCTCCACAGTTTTGCTTTCTTGAGCCCGGAATGTTTCTCTTAAAGGTAAATATTGTCCCCTTTCCAAATATTTTCAGCAGAAGAGTAACTCTGATTTAATGTAGTGTGTGTATATGTGGGGAGATGTCTTTCTCCCTTCCCTCTTCTCTCCTTCAAGGGTATTCCAGGATTTGATACCATGGGACACTCTGGTCAACATACTTTCTTTAGCTACAATCATCTGTGTTTTCTAAGATTGTGTGAAATGATGCCAGAAGAGTGTAGGGTGATCAACAGTGGAAGTTGTGGCATCTGTGTTAGAGCTGGGTACTCTTTTCTTCATTTTGGGTCACAGAAGCCTCTATGAACAAAGTCCAAGGACCTGGGGAATGCAGACTAACCCAACACTGGGTCATTAGGTGCTTGGTATGCTCTCCACTGTATCTCCAGGACTCAGTGCCATCCTGGCAATGCCATCCTGGCAGTTGAGGGAGGGTGAGACAGAGGTTTCTAGCTCCTTTCATGCAAAAGGAAGCTAAAACCCAGGAGGTCAGAGAGTGTAGGTTTGACCTGGCAGGGAGGCTGCCAGCTGTGACCAGAAGGCATGGGTTGGAACATTTGGGGGCTGGTGAGTGATTGGGCAGTGCTTGGGGCATATGCTGCCACCTGGTTCTCCAGAACCCAGCCCAGAATTCTCTTTGCCAGGACAGAAGGAGGGCTGGCACTGCAAGGAGGACTTGGGGTGGCACCACAGGGTAACAACTGATGACTGTGGGAACCTGAGTCAGGGAGGTATGAGGGGAACGGGGTTCTGATGGGAAGAGCCGTCTCTTGGGCCCTTGGGTGTCACTCAGCCCAGCTCACTGTCCCCATTTGTGTGAGTTGGGTTATGTGGAGGGGTCCATGCTGATCAGAGGGAGATTCCCTTAAAGCCTAGACTCACCCCTGTCAGGAGGGTCAGTTCCCTGGTGAGACAATGAGAGGAAAGTGTGTATACACTCCTGAACGTGTGTGTGTGTGTGTGTGTGTGTGTGTGTGTGTGTGTGTGTGTGTGTTTATGGGGTAAGCTGCTTGAGGATACAGAAACAGAAGGAAAATGAAGAAGTAGTCAGAGTCTGCTCATAAACAGAGGGTATCAAGTACATTTGCATCCTAGGAAAAGAAAAGTTAGGCCCTTGTCATCATAGATGAGTTTCATAAAGGAAACTCAAAGTTGGATAAGCATAGAGCAAGGAGATCAGATGGATCCAGGAATATAGAGAAACCAATCATTTCTTTTTCATGGAACAATGTTTGTGATCCTGGAGCAGAGAGGGGTTTCTAATTTATATTTACATGTCAGACACAGCTCTGACCTCATAGAAAGTGTCCTTAAAGGCTCCACATGGAGCAGGGAAAGGCAGATCTCAGCTCAGAATCTTCCCATTTCCCCCCTCCACACAGACACTTTCTCCTCTGCTATCCCTGCTCTGGCCCTTTGTTGTCTGAAAAGGAAATGACTTAGTGAGAGTGAATTTGTGTGTGTGTGTGTGTGTGTGTGTGTGTGTGTGTGAGAGAGAGAGAGAGAGAGAGAGAGAGAGAGAGAGACAGAGACAGAGACAGAGAGGGATGGAGGGAGTGGGAGAGAGAGAAAGAGAGAAAGAGAGAGAGGAAGTCTGTTTTTGGGTTGGAAGAGAATTTCCTCCTGACATTTCTGTGCTTGAGCTTTAGTTTTATGACTTTCTACTCAACTCAAGTCAGTAGGGCTTCTAATGCATAAAGTCTGAATGTAGAGAAAGAAGGTGAGAGGAATTGTGTTCTTTTGCACTGGTTTTCATTGTACAAAACACTTGCTAAGATTCAGTTGCTAAAGTTTACTTGATAGGGAAGAGTGTGAATTTGTTGGGAGGAGTGGCGGCCCGCTTCTGGGATGGTCACAAAGGGGTTGTCTCTGGGAGGCAAGTGCTCTGGGATCTGTAGAAATCTTTCCAGCAGGGCAGCCAGAGGCAAAGAGGTTACTTGGAAGTGCTGACAGGCAGAGAAAGACATTTTGATGAGAAGTCTGCAGTTGAGTATTCCTGGGAACTGATTCCTGAGACTAGACAGTGTTCTGGGGCTCTAAGTCAATGTCACAGAGAGGAAGGACTGAATGGGGAACTCTTCCACTGCTCTGTCCTTCTCCCTCCCTGCCAGCAAGTATTCTTTTCATTTGGCAATGCAAACATTTAACAATGAGACGGTTATCCCTCAGAGCATGAAAGTAACAGATAATTCCTATGGGAAGGCAGTTAGCAAATAGAGAGGGAATGACTGAGGATTGTTAAAGATGTATTGTTGATTAAAATTTTGTTAATAAATGGCTTACACTGAAAATTAGACAAATGACTTTCTGATAAGAGATACACATAAAATAATGGTCAATTTCACCAAAGCATTTCTGTGTGTATCCAGTTGGATTTGATAAAATATCTGTTCAGTGCTAATTCCATTTACGATTATGAAAATAGCAAAAGGTCAGATGGCTAATGTCACACTGCAAAGAGTAATTAACATTTTTATGTACCTAGGAAAACCTCCCAGCTGATTCTATGCAGTTACTGTAAGAAGGCATTTAAAGCTTTTAAATTATGTGATTTTAGTAATCTTTTATTTGAATATAATATTGATGTAGATAGTCATGGTTAATCTTCAGGGTAAATTCATTGTTATTGGAGACAACATTTTGTGTGACGTCTTACCTAATTTCAGTTTCAAAATCACAAAGCAGATGGTCATCACATTGAACACGAGAATGTTGCCTTATGATACAGTGAAGTTGGTGTGGTGTAAGAATTTGGGACAAAGACTGTGGCCATTGAAGCAACTTTTGATTGCTTCCATCTTTGGCTATTGTGAATAGTGCTGTAGTGAACATGGGTGTTTGGTAGCTATTTTTCAAACAAGCTAATATTGTTATTTGTTCTTTCTCCTAGTACTTGTATGTTCTAATTTTTTTGCATTTAGACTTCTGATCCATTTGAGGTTTATTTTGGAGTGCGGTATGAGAAATAGATCAGATTATATATATATTTTTTCCAAATAGCTATCTAATTGTTCTAATACCATTTATTAACAATTCATTTTTTCCCCAGTGGTTTGAGATGCCACATTTTTCATACATTAAATTATTTAAAATGAAATTCCAGTTCTGTTCAATTTTGGCCTACCAGTCTTTATGCACACCAACGGCACACAGTTTTAAGTAGAGCCTACATTAATATCAAGTAGGAGTGATTCTTGCAGGGTAGAGAGAGCCTTGTCCTGGAGAGAGAGATGTCCTTCCACTGCTCCCCAAGGTGGCGGGTAAAGTGCGATGGGGGTAGATAGGGGAATGGATGGAAGGAGGGAAGAAGCACATCTAGATCCCCAGGACCCTGGGGGGAGGGTGATTCATTTGTTCTCCATCTTCCCAGAGGAGCTCAACTCAGTCCTGGCACACTTATGTTGTATTCTTGCTGTGGACTGAATGTTTATGTCTCTTCAAAATTCATTTACAGAAACCTAATCCTCAACGTGATGATATTAGGAGGTGGGCATTTGGGAGGTGATTAGGTCATAAGGGCAGAGCTCTTGTGAATGGGATTAGGGCCCACAGTGCACAGCGACCTTAGATAGCTTTCTTGCCCCTTACACCATATGAGGACATAAGGAGAAGGTGGCTGTTTGTAAATCAGAAAGTGGGCCTTCACCAGACACTGAGTCTGCTGGTGACTTGCTCTTAGACTTCTTAGCCTCTAGACCTGTAAGAAATACATTTCTGTTGTTTATAAACTACCCAGTTTATGGTATTTTGTTGTAGCAGTCTGAACAAACTAAGCGCTGAATAATGTTTAATGAACAAATGAGGAATTGGTTATTTACACTCTTAATGTGGACCTTTATTAAGGCTCTGGCGCCCCCTGGACTTGTGGCTCAGAGAAAAGTCAGTCATGGTGGGGCATCTCAATCTGATCTGGCTCTTTGAAGCGTCTCATTGTTCTCCTTAACCATGGCAGAAAGCTTGTGATCCTGGTGAAGACTGCTGGAGGAGTTGCCCAACTATTTCCATAGGAGACTATGCCCTGGGCCACATTGTTACATATCAGGGGGCCTCCGGAGTCCCCCTATGGACAGAGAGGAAAAGGGACACTAAGGCCTTCCTGTTCCTGCTACCTGAGCCTTGGGTTCTCAGAGAAGCCAGGGGGTGGTGGTGGGTGGGCTCCTTCAGTTGCTGGGTGTGTGTGAGATAGGGGTGCAGAAGTCAAGCCTCTGGATATTTTTATTGCTGGGCTTCAGCCTTGGCCATGGCTACCGCCTCTAGACCAATTTGAGTTAGGTTATCTTCCCTTTCCAAAGGAAAATGTTTCTGTTGTGGGTCTTCTGCCCATTTCCCCAGAGACCAGACTGATGGAAAAAATGATCCCTAGCCCACCCTGGTTTGGCTCCCAGGCTGAAGCTGTGGTGACAGAGTCTGTAACCACTGCCCAAGCTTTGCTCAGGCCCCTTATCCTGGTCAGTGTTGGTTGATGCCCATGGCCTTACCCTGAAGGCAGATTTCCTCTCCTGTGGGTTTCCCACACAAATCTGTGTTCGGAAGTTGTAGGATCCGTAGCGATTGCATTCCTCATCCCTCTGCACTCTGAGCTGCACTTCGTGGAGTCTGCTTGTTCTCCTGTTCAGGTTGACCAGGCCCCACCCGGCCACAGTGCACAGCGCCCCGGGCCTCAGCCTCTCCTGGGTCTGAGGCAGAGCCACTGGGCTCACAGCTCGATTCCGTCTGATTCTATTCCTCAGCTGGAGGAAGAATAAAGGCATTCCCACTCAGCTGAGCCTCCCAGCCAAGGCTCAGAAACCGCTAGTGCAGTACTTTACCCCATGGCCCCCACCACCACCCTGGAGTTTCCTCCTCCATTGTCTCTGGACATGCTGGAAGGAGGCAGCTAGGCTGGAGAGGCAGAGGGCCAGGTAGGACTTACCTGCAGTAACATGATGTCATTCTGGTGGGTCTGCAGATTATATTGAGGGTGGGGGATGGCTCTGCGCACAGTGATGCGTTGCTGGGTCCTTTCCTGCCTCTGAATATTGTGGGCCCCCAGGATGACATTTATACGTCTGCAAAGGCAAGAGGTAGTCTGGGCCCAGGAGCTGTGGTCTACAAGTTCTGCAGGGCAGGTAGACAGCCCAGAGCAGGGTGAAACTGTGGTTGAAGAGAATCAAAAGGACGAGAGGGCCCCAGGGTTGAGCTCTGCCCCTTTTCTCTGCGGCCCTGAGCTGGGGATGGTTAGGAGGACACTGACCTTTGTGTTTGTTACCCCAGATTAAAGATTAAATGGAGAAATATTTCTGGAGAGAAATATTTTGAGCCCCAATGCTTGTCTTCCATCTCCTCCTCTTGCTCTGTTTGATCATGTCTTCCTTTTCTCCTTATTTACTCTGACCAGTTTCCTCCCCCAAGATCTGCCTGGTCTCTCTTTCACCCTTTAATTGCTACAACCCTGCTTTCAGGTGGCCCCTGTGATAAGCTACTCTGGGCTTGTATTCTTGGCTGCCCAGGAAGGTCTTGAGCTCCTCACCTTCCCCTGCAGTGAGCTGCCGTCAGCACAAAGTCTTCTCGTACCAGGAACCCCCCACATATGCCCTGCCCTACTGGAGTCTGGATCCGAAGAAACGCCATATACGGGCGGGAGTGGGGTCTGGCCTCCTGGCCTCCGATTATCTTCTCTGGAAAGAAACATTAAACACTTACCTCTGTGCTGGCTGAACCTGCAGTGTGGGCACCAGATTGGTGGCTTCAAAAAGACTGGAAGATGGGGGAGGGCTGGAGAGGGGCTGCAGGTGAGGAAGGAGCTGGTGCTGAGGACTGGGGTCTGCAGGGCACCAGATGCTGGGAGAGAGATCCAGGGTTCTCCAGGAAACACTGCTGGCTTGAAGGGAGACCCATTCCCCATTCTAGGCCTTAATGACTTCCCTCTCCTCCTAAAGGGGGAAAACCACACTTGCGCCAGGCAAGGCCAGCTTCAACCTCAGTTATACAGAAGGTGTTCTGTGGCAAGCACAGGGCTGTCCCTGAAGTTCCCTGGTACTTTCTCAGGGAGCTTCCCAGATCCCTCTGAGTCTAACTTGAGACCACGTGGGGCTGGTGTTTAAGAATCTGGACATGAACTGACGGGACGTTATTGCTGTATTCTTACCTCTTAGGCTCTGTCACATGGGTTGATGAATGAATCTATATAGAGCGCATTTTGTTTTACAGCACTTTCTATGTTCCGGGGGCCAATTCTAAGATTTTTATGTACACTAACTAGTTTAACTCTCTTGGTAATTCTACAGGGTTGGTATTCATATCATTCCCGTTTCTATGAGTGAGGAAACTGAAGAACTATGAATTCAAATAACTTGCTCAACAATAGGGACTTGGGATGTACCAAGGCAGTCTGGCTCCAAAGTCTATGGAATGGGGTCAGACCTCTGAAAGAGGGGACAGTCACTCACCTGCCTCAGCCCCAGGGGGTAGGAGGAAGATCAACAGAAGCAGAAGTGGCTGCATCTTCCCTGAAAGGCTGCCTGGCCAGTTGCTGTTCCTGCTAGACTTTTAGCTTCCAAGAAAGGAAGGAAGGGGAGGGGATGGGGGCTTGAGAATTTACAGCCCCATTCTCCTGCTATGTGATTGGTTTCATCACCCAAGGCTGCCAAGGAGGTTTGCCCACCAACTGCCAGTGATCTGAGTGAAGAGGGTATAATCCAAGCCAACATCGTGATCTCCTGTGCAGCTGCTGAGTCAGTGCTCACAGCAGAAACAGGAACCCAGGGAAACAAGGAGGGGGGCTTTGGGCAGTGTGTCCCAGAATTCTCAAGCCACCAAATTCCACAATACCCCAAAATGCATGAAAGCTGGTAGCTGCCTATTTCCTCTGCTTCCTGTCCCTCTGGGTCTTGTGCCTCAGTCCTTTGGAATTTCAAGTTTTCTCTGAAGGGATGCAAGTTCCCTGAATGGCTTATCTGTATATGTGTAGTAAGGCTTGGACAAAGGTGAATGAAAGATTGTGGGGTGTGGTGGGAATGCGGGTGAGAATACCAGAAAAAAAAAAGAAGGAGACAGAAGAGGAAAGGTGAAGTCTGCCTGTGTTCACCCTTTGGTTCAAGGACACTTTGCTGAGAGCGCTGTTGCTACCATTTCTTTCTAGCAGTTGTCAAGGCAGTTTGAGTAGCCAATCTTCTGAGTGGTGGAGGGTTCTGCTGGAGAAAGAAAGGGGAAAAACAAGACTCTGACATTGGTAATTACTTTCTCAGATCACTTGAGCCCATATAAACCCTCAGTGAAAATTATGACACAGTTGAAGACTTACTTGCCTGCTTCCTAACTGGGGTGAAGGTCTTTGTATTCCGGAAAGTTCTCTGCTTGCAGACAAGGCCTAGTGACTTGAGTTTGTTGAGAGCTATTAGAGTCTACCTGGAAAACACCTAAGATCCCATTTCATCAATGACATAAGAGATCAATCAGCTTATTTTCAGGGATGATAGCTTCTAAGAAGGAGCTACGTTCATTGCTGTGCTACCTATCAGACACAGAGAACTTCAACCAAATATTTAACACTGAGAGAAAAGTACAGCAAATTACTGTAGAGTAACACATTAAACACACTTAAAAAATATTTGGAGGCTGGTGTGGTGGCTCAAGCCTGTAATCTAGCACTTTAGGAGGTTGAAGTGAGAGGATTGCCTGAGCCCATGGGTTTGAGATCAGCCTGGGGAACTTGGTGAGACCTCATTGCTACAATAAAAAAAAAAAAAATTAGCCAGGCGTGGTGGCGCATGCCTGTCATTCCAACTACTTGGAAGGCTGAGGTGGAAAGATCTCCTGAGCCCAGCAGGTTGAGGCTGTGGTGACCGGGAGCATGTAACTGCACTCTAGCCTGGGTGACAGAGTGAGATTCCAACTAAAAAAAAAAAAAACGGGATTGTCAGTAGTATGGGAATATGCCGGGGGAACGGGGACAGACCTCATCAACAAGGGTATCTGCATAATGAACATTTGTATACCTAACCCTGAGTTGTACCCCACATCTTTAAAATAAAAAAATTAAAAGACGAAAAAAAATCCTATGTTTTTACAAAAAGAAAATATTTGGGAAATTCTGTGTATGCACAGAAAACCATTGTAATCTAGTATAATTTTTGCAAAAATAGCAGAATTGAAGACTTATATAATTTCCAATCTTTTATGGAGTGTGATAGGCCTTTTTGAAAAGCTATGAAAGTTAAGGATCCTCTTTATGTATAAATATGTAGTTTTTCATTTATTTTTAGAGTGCAAAGAGTTTAATTACTTCTCTAGTCCATGTTCTATGAAAATTTCTTTATGCATCTGAAAAGTATTGTGAAGAAAAAGGGAAAAAAGAGAAAATACTATAACAATTTTATTAGTGTCTTAGCATTTGGGATAATCTTAACTTATTAAATTTTTAATATTTTATGTTGTTTTAAAAACAGTTGAACTTAAAAATAGAGAAAAAGAATAAGAAAAGCTTGCATATGTGAAAAAAGAGGAGTAAAAGATACATATGATGTGAATAAAAATGTGGATAGGGAATTTCATTAATAGTGACTAGGATTTCATGCCAACCTTCTTACTAAAAGCAACCAAAACCAAAGCTGTTTAAGATGTCTAAAAAGCTTAAAAACTTCAAAGAATTGCCAATGCAGCAGTGATTATCAGGCCAAATGGAAGGAATAATGAGAGTCTGGTTAGGAAGCTGCTATTTTTCTGAGGAAATGTGCTGAAATCACAAAATTTAAACTTCTGTTTTGATAACCACATAAAGTGGAAATCTGTAGAAAATATTCAAAGAATACTATTTGGTTTCTTCTGGAGAGTGGTGTTACCCATTTCCTTTATAGGACTAGTATGACTTCCATGCCAAACTTAATAAAGACAGTTTGAGAAAGGAACATTATAGACCAATATAACTTTTGAATATTGATGCAAACTAAATCAATTAATAAGCAAAAAGATTTATCATAAGTAATTTGAGTTTATTGTAGGAATTCATTATTGGCTTTTCATTGGAAAAAACAATTGCTGTACATTAATTGATTAAAGAAGAAAAATCATGTGACTATTTAATTGAAGCCCTAAAAAATACTCCTCAAGCATTTGCTAACATTTCCTCTCATTTATTAAAAAAATATATTCTTAGCAAACTAGGAACAAAAGAGAATATCTTCAAAGTTACAAACAGTTATTATACTTAATGGTAAAGTGTTGAGACCTTTTTCTTTGAGAGCAAAACAGTACAAGAATGTATGAATATAAATTATTATCAATCACTTTCAACATTGTACTAGAGGTTTCAGCCAGTGCAGTTGGGTAGTAAATAGAAATGAAAGGTATAAGGACAGGAAAGGAGGAAACAAAGCTGTAAAAATTTGAAGAAATGATAGTATACACAGAGAATGAAAATAACCTACAGATAAATTACCATAATTAAAATAAGAGAGTTTAACAAATTTGCTAGATAAAAAAAATCAATGTTAAAAATTAATACTATTCCTATGTGTGCTGTAACACTGTTAGAAAATTAAATTTTTAGACGGTTAATACTTAAATGCCATGGAAATGATCAAATAACTAAACATAAATAAAAAAGAATTTGGGAAAGAACTCTTTTGTGAAAACTATACAATTTAATGAAGAGACATTTAAGAAGACACAAGCATAGAGAGATTCTAGATTTACAGATAAGAAGACTAAATATTGTAAAAATATCAGTTCTTCCAAGACTGACTAAAAGATTCATTGCATTGCAAATCTGATTCTAAATATATTTGGCAAACCAATGACCAACAATAGCCAAGATACTATTAAAGAATAAGAATAAGATGGAACAATATCATCTTAATAAGTAAATATTCTAGGTACTATATATGAAAGTACTAATCATAAAGAAAAAAATTGAATCTGAGACATTAAAATTGAGAGAAATAAAAGACAATTCATAAAGTGGGCAAAGATGCTTGTAACACACATAACCAACAAAGGACTTATATTTTAGTTATATAAAGAACTTCTATAAATCAGTGTGAAAAGATAATTAACTCAATAAAGGAGACTTGAAAATCTTATAGCAAAACAGGAAATCTAAGTGATCAACAAACATATGAAAAGGTGTGACTCTTACTAGATATGAAAGAAGCACCAATTTAAAGCACAGTGAGGTACCAGTTACAGCCACCAGGTTGCTCTTTACCACTCCTAGGCATATACCCTAGAGAAACACACAAAAATTTCTACCAGATACATGTCCACGAAGGTCATATCAGCATCATATCATATCAAGATAACCCCAAACTGGAAACACTTGGAAGGTCCATCAATAGCAGCATGAATAATCAAATTGTAGTCTATTCATGTAATGAAATATTGCATAGCCATGAGAATAAACGAACTATCCCCTTATGCAACTACACAAATGAATCTTACAAGCATGATGTTGAAAGAACCCAAGATGAGTACTTTCAGTATAATTTTATTTATATGAAGTTCAAACCTAGACAAAATGAAACTATATTGGGTAGAAATGCCGACATATGTGGTAAATGTATAATGAAAAGCAAAGAAGTACATTATCACAAAAAGGCAGAACAGTAGTTAACTCTGGAATTGGAAGACAGAGAGGGTATTTTGACAGAGAAGGAAGAGACAAATGGGGGATTTCTGGAGTATTGACTGTGCTCTATTTCTCGACATAAAATGTAGTGTCTTGTAATTGTTCTTTAAACTGTACATTTATGTTTTGTGCCCTTTTCTTGTATGTATATTTTGCAATACATTAAAAAAAGTCTGTTTGCCAGAGGGTAGGGGTTAGAGAAAACATTTGGATAGTGATAGGAATAAATGAGAGTGGAGGAGGGCATGTACTTTTAAAATTATTTTATTGTCTATTTTAATAAAAGATTGTGATATTTGAACAAAAGAGACGAATTGGTTTCACAATATCCACAGTTGGTTACATCTACTTTAGACTGTTGTATTACATTTCCGTCAGTTACAATATTTTTCTCCTTTGGGATGTTGGGACATAAGTAGGGTGTTTCCCATCTCCTCCCTGGGCCCATAAGCCAGCAGCAATGCAAATCCTCTGAGCAGGCAGTTGCCAGATGTTGCTGAGTCAACCCCCTCTTCCTTCCTCTGATGCTACTTTAGTCAGTAACCAATGTAGTTTCCCTTGGCTTGGTAGGAGACCAGGGTTCTACCCTCAAGGCTACCTTAGGAAGATATTTTGGAAGGAGTTTTCTACTGACAAGCTTGCGTTTGTTTTATTGTGTCAGTGCTGGGAGAGGGCTGTGCCAGAGCCATTGTCTCTCAACCACCAGCATCTTCAGGGAGTCAGATATTTTCTTGCCAAGAACTGGCCTGTGTTGTTATCCTTGTAGGGAAGAGCAGGCGACAAAAAAGACTGAACTCCTGGGAGGGTTCTAAAGTACATGATTTGCTAGAACAAATTCACTGAGAACTGCTTCAAATCTTCTCATCTTAGTAGTTAGAGAGAAGGAGGTATCCCAGAAACCCTGG